TGACTCTACTCAATACTCACTTATTTTAAGATATTATTGAGATACTTTTATTTCTATTTTTAAGTAACTGAATAATTTCTAAATTCACATGTTAAGCAGTACAAGGTTGTGCTGTGTGGTAAGAATCTAGATCACGATGACTTCCTCTTCCTATTTGTCATTCTTTCCACTTAATTACTCTCTAGTTGGCGTGTGGAGAACATACAACTATTCAGTAAAGTAATACAGTAAGTATCTGTTTATACTTCTCAAGTGTTTCCTGTTTTGTTGCTTTCCAATCTGTCTATATATAGATATGAGAAGTCTGAAGGTTTGCTTGTTTTTCCCTAATCCTCTTGGCTTCATTCTGTGACTTTTTCCAATCAAAGAAACGAGCTGTACTGCAGGCAGCACGTTTAGCAAGAGGTGGTGTCACTTCCTTTGCCTCGATCTGTCACTTCCATACATAAACTCATACTCCGTATTTCTGCTTCACAAAGATTTTGGCTCACGCAGTGATGATCACTGTGTCTGCAGGCACTTGCTTAGAGAGATTAAAGATATGGAAGGAGCAGGCATTGCAATAACTGGAAGAAAATAATACTCTAAGTTGTTTTGGACAAAGGCTATCTCATTCTTTGTGTGTAAATCTATAACTACACTGAACTTTAACAGAGTATATATCACTTTAAACATAACATGATTTGCTCCAAATTATTACTTTTTTCCAAGTCTTACAAATAATTCACTTATGTTAAGAAAAAATATTTCATGAGGGTTAGCAGAATCTTGAAGAATCTCTATATAAAGACAAATGAAAATTAAAAGCAGGAGGAAACACAAACGTGAAAGGCAAATGCAAAGATGCCTCAGAGAACTAAGGGTAGTGCACGGTAAGAGTTCAGAATAAACTACCCCGCATGCGAAATGCTGTGAGCGTCTTCAGCTGTGTTCAGGATCAGAGTATGGAAGAGTCATGACTATGGCAAGACGTGTCACTCAGAATGCAGAGAAAAATAATTATCCAGGCCCTGTTTTAGTTACTGTTTTCTCTGTTAATGAATCTGAATCTGAAATTTAAAAAGCTAATTTCAGGAACATAAAATATCTTCTGTTCACTGTACTGAATAACCAATCTGTAGTTTTATTTTCAAATCGAGGTTCAATATTTTTAGAGTCAAAGAATCCTGAAATATCTCAACAAAATACTTTTCTCCTTTGTTTAGTCATTAATGCATTTATCCTTCAATAAGTATTTATTTTTCACCTACCATAAGGTTCCATTTTAAACACTAGAAAAATAGATGAATTCTTTTATTGATTTGCTCATTCATTTCCTCAGGTGTGCCTCTATCAGTTCTGGGCATAATGAAAAAGTCAGTCAAGGTCCTTGCTATCACAGATACAGTGTAGAAGTCCCCATGGTAAAAGTTGTGTGATACATAGTGAACCATTTCTGAAACAGAGAGGACAGGAACTCGTGTGGCTAGAAGAAAGGGTTTGAAATGGGCTTGACAAAGGAGGAATTCAGTATATGGAGAAAGGGATAAAGAATTTTGCAGGCAGAAGATTGGCAAGTGTGACATCCCTGAGGTACAAAAATACAAACAGGCTACATCAGCAATAAATGACACTTTGATTAAATGAGAAAAAGTTACAGAAACTAGATATTTTCAAACTGAAGAATAAGACTTATGGCTAGGATATTATTTTTGTCTTCAAATGTCTGGATGTTGCTGGGCATGGTGATGCACACTTGTAATTCAAGTTACTCAGGAGGCTGAGGCAGGAGAATCATAAGTTCAAGACCAGCCTGGGAAACTTAGTGAGATTCCACGTCAAGATAAAAAATAAAAATAAAAGGGTCAGAGACATGGTTGCCTTTGGTATTGCAAAAACAAAGAAACAAACAAAACAACGAAAAAAGTCCATGCATAGAAGTACAAAGAAATATGTCTAGAGTCAGTGTCAAGAAATTCCATAAAATGAGTGTTGTTTCAAATAGAGATGCTTTTTATGGCAGTAATATCAAGCTACAGAAAATATTCAAGCAGAGCCTCCCCAAATCAAAGGATTACACCAGCAACTTTTATACTATGTTGAAAACTAACCTTTTAAGTCTTCTGTCCTATCCTATCCTATCCTATCCTATCCTATCCTATCCTTTCTATTTTTATATTGGAGGTCAAACTCAGGGGCACTCTACCATTGAGCCATATCCCCAGTCCATTTTATTTTAATTTATTTTATTTTTTGAGACAGGGTCTCCCTAAGTTGCCCATGTAGGACTTGAAATTGTGATTCTTCTGTTTCAACCTCCCAAAGCTCTGAAATTACAGGCATGTGCCACCACACACAGCTTAATTCTTTAAGTTCTCTGAAAACTAGGAATGGGACACACTGTTCTAAGCACACTAAAATTTGACACAATTCTGGAGAGGAGAGAGACCGTGGGAATTACTGAATCTAACATTCATTTTATAGTTGAGAAACTGAAACCCTGGAAAAGTGACTGGACATTCTCTCTGCTTCAACATCATGCCATAAGCTGTCTGTCTCCTCTGCGATGCCCATCTGCCATGCTGCCCTGCGTTGATGCCAGCGAAGTATGGACTAAGTCCCTACAGACCTGAGCCAAAATAAACCTCTCCTAAGCTGTAGTCATCTGTATTGTATTCCAGAAGACACCCCACAAATCAATGGCTCTGATTAGATGTCTCTCCAGTACCCTATCTAGTAATCAAGTTACTGTATCATACTGCTCCCTTGAAAAGAATCCAAATATGTAAACATACAACTCCCAGAATACGGAGGTGACAACCAAAGCACAGCCTGCAATGTTTAATGTTAAGTGGAAAATGAAGGACAAGACATTGAGTTGTTAAAGAACTGAATATGGGCACGTTTGCCTGACTTTTCAAAAATAGAGAATATGATTTCTCCAAACCGTAATCAAAAGATTTTTAAAATATCAGCCCAAGAGGATATGGTCCAAAGTGATAACAATAAACAGAAAGAAGTGGTCACAAAGAATCAGCATGGAAGAACAATCCAGCACAATGTTTATTTTTAACATGGTGAGGAAATGTGTTTGCCTGTTTCATCATTTGTCATCCTATCAAGAAAGAAATATTTAAGTGCTCGCTTTAAGTGCTCACACTGAACTAAGCATCAGGAAAATGAGTGACCAAGTCCAAAGTTTCAAGGGGCTCAGTACAGTACAATGTGACATATCCAGTGCTATAGGAGGCAAAAGAGGATTTGGGGGAATGAGTGTGGGTGTGGAAATCCTTGGTAGAAACACTATATAGGCAGGGTGTGCAATCCCAGCACTTGGTAGGCTGAGGCAGGAGGATTGATGTGAGTCCAAGGCCAGCCTGGGCTACATAGGGAGACCCTGTCTCAAAAGACAAACAAACAAACCACAAAGTCAATATAAATGCTAGGATAAGAAATTGTGAAGAATGATGAGAAATAGCCAGATTAGGACTTTGAAGGTAGAGAGGTAAGATGTAAAAGGATACTCAATGGGAAATTGGAAGTGGTATGGTCTGTGCTGTAATTATACTCTATTTTCATTCTACACTGACAAAAATCTAAATAATAAATTTAGTGCACATAAATATATTAGGTAAAGAGATTACTGATTATATGAGTGGGTCTTCTCCAAGGGTAAAGAGCAACAGATTAAGCAGATAAAAGGTTTTAAGTGGCTTTATATTCACTGTATTCATGAGGTTAAAAATAAACAGTATACTGAGGGAAAATTATTTTATAGTAACATATATTAAAATTGTTACTACAAATTCTGTGAGACAAAGTGAAATGAATTAAGAATACTAATTAAAGGCATTGTAGAACATATACAAATACCCGAAGACAAGATTTCGTCTAAGTTTAGGAATTTATAATTGTACAGATGATTTTTACAATTAGGAGAACTTATTAATCAAAACAGCACTAGATTACAAAGGGAATTTCTGAATTTCAGTATGTGTCTTTTATGGTCTCTTGCATCTTGGACAAATCTTGTTGGGATTCATATTCCTCCAACTCCAGCGACAGAAGCCCAGACTATATATATAATTTTCCAGTTTTAAAAATGTTTCAAAATACAATTAATGTTCAAGAATTTGACACTTTAATCTCAGGTTTCACAGTGGGCTCTGGATTCATTTCCTGAATGAGTGAACAAATCAGCGTCCTTCTCCTCCTGTATTTGGGCGTCACTGCATCATGTGTGTACTACGCCAACAGTGGCAACATGAGCAGGGAAAGGGTCTGCAATGCTGGATCCATGTGAAAGATACTGCCACTCTTCAGCAAGACAAAATGTATGATCAGCAAACAAGTATATATTCTTACACAGCCTCAATTTTTATAACCACAAAAGTAGTTAAGTACTTATTACAGAAAACAGTGCCAAGTAAAATTCCTTGTAATTTTATTACAGTGTTCTCTTTTCTTATATTTTGGTGTATAGCCTTTCACTCATTTCCCCACACATACTGTGTCCTGCTTTAAAAATGGGGTTTTCCCTCTTTAGTATAGCATGGACGTTTTGTTTGAAAGTGGCATGGTGCTTCATTGTATCTGTGCAGTATAATGTAATGAATTTTCTTTTTTAAGAATTTAAGCAACTTCCTTTTGTCCCTATCTAAATTGTTACAATAAAATATCACAAATTACTAGTTCATTCTTTAGGGTAGATTTTTTGGCATTGAATGTCTGAGTAAAAGGATACAAAATTTGTTTAGGCTTTTTAATGTATCTTCCTAAATGTCTTTCAGAAAACCTTATGCCAGTTCATATCCTCTTTATCAAAACACAATTTCTGGTTCCCTGTATTATCAACAATGGATATTAACCCTTTCTAAAATCTATGCCAACTTGAGGTGAAAGTCTCACAGCTTTTAACATGTACTTCTTATTTTGATTTACATTTAATATAGCAACATTAAAATAGGACTGCACCATGTCTGCCATACAATGAACAAAAAATACACAAAATATCAGACATCTTACACAAGCAAAATAATTTATTTAATCTTTTCATTCTCATTTACTCATTCATTCCATTTTTGAGTGTTTTTCCTACATTTTGGACAGTTGTAAGCACTGGAGAATAAATAAAGCAAAAACATGGTGCCTGCTCTCAAGGAGCTCACAGTTTAGTTAAAAAAACAGGTAAGTATACTATTATAATACAGTGTTATCAACATTTAAATAAAAAGATATATGAGGTTAGTAGTGGCTCAAAGATGGACAGGAAGGAAAGGATGGTTTTCTAAAAACAACCAGACGCAAAGTGGGAGGACCAGACCCACTGAACGTAGGAGGTACTAGGGATCTGGAGACGCCAGGCGCACAGAAAGTGCTGCAGCTGCTGGACATAAAGGGGAGGTTCCGACAAAGCCAATGTGACATCGGAAACCTAGACCAAGCGTACCAATACCAATTCATGCCTTTTAAGTTCAACAAGTATCCCACCTGCCCTTATTTAACTAGTGGCCTCTCAACTTTTTTTTCTCAGTCATTTTATAACATCAGACCCCAGTCAAATGTAACCATTTTATGACCACATTTAAAACAAATTATCAGTGAAGGGGAGAAATGACTCATTAGTAAGTAAAGTGGTAAGAAGTTACAGCAAATGAAGCATTCATCCTTCAAGCTATTTTTATTTTTTAAAAGATTTCCTGCAAGGTTTACTTTGTGGTTTGCATCTTTCAACAATGCAGCAACTTTAGAAATAATGTCAGCATGAAAAGCTAGGATTTTGTCATGTCTGCCATAACTTTAGAGCCTCAGGATTGTCTTTCTTCTAATTGTATTTTGTGGTTTCACATATTTTTCTTCCCATAAGAACTAATAGGTTTACTGGCAGATGTAGTGGGGACATTCCAGTGCCTCTATTCTTTCATTAGTAAATACTCTTTTTTTGTTATTCAACAAATATTTGCAACCACTACATTCAAAGTATAGTATTAGGAATATGCAGCACTTTACAAACAAGGTACCGTACCGTAACTACGTGCTAAAATCTCAACTCTACCTTGTAGAAGACAAAAGCACTGACATAATTCTCAGTCACATGGTCACTAAGAAGTAACCAACAAGTCTGGGTACAGTAGATCTTTGAATTCCCACCACAGAGCTCTTTTGATGCATTACGTTCCTTACTAGTCTTCCCAGTTTAGTTCCTCTCCAGTTGTCTACTATTCTTAAAAAACCCCTTCCACACTCATCAAGTTTAATCTGTTCTGAAAAGCCATCTTGACTGTTTCAGTACACAGGACTGACTCATTCTCCTTTGAATTACTATAGGCTGGTCCTTAAATTTTTCAACTGGTGCTCAGAAAATGCTTAGGAGCTCTATCTTCAATCATGGGGTAATTTTCATGTCTAATTAGAAGACACTGGTACTACTAAAGCTTGAGTTCTATTCAGTTGTGCAAACTTTTCTGACAATTTACTAAGTTAGATACTATGTTAAGAACTAAAGACATGATTTCTATTATCGAAAATATTAGCCTAAAGGAATTGTAGATATGTAAATGCTTTGTGTAAACACATTTGTTCATTCAATTAATTCAACAAATTCAACAACTCACTCATTTGATTAAGCAAAAAACATGCTGGCCATGTGCTGGCCCTGGGCATAAAGAGATGAACAGTCTGAATTTCAAGTAACTTACAGTTTAAGAGTAAAGGTAAACATGTAAATTTTTTCATTCACTCAATAAACACCTTATTATAAGGTGGGCATAAAGGAAACCTATGACTAACACAGATACGTTTCCTCTCTGAGGACCATAATTCTCAAATGTAGAAAGTAGCAACTGTATTCGTGTTTTATCCTATGTGCTAAGGGACCACAGTGAAGTTTGAGTCCGTGGGTATTCATCCTTTATAAGTCTGGTACTTCATATATCAACTCCAGATAATAACTCTAAGACAATTATGAATTATCATTCTAATATAAATGTTCCCAATATTGCTTGAAATATTTCTCATCTTATTTCAGATCACAACAGCCCCAGCTACCTCTTGGCTTCTTACAGAGAATGAAATAGCAACTACTAAATAGAAATTCAGTTTTCTCTATTACTTTGTTCACATTCAGCATGTCAAAGTACAAATATGAACACACTGGTTTTCCAAATATACTAGTCAGAAGTACTGACATATTCCTTGGAGGTTTCTCAGAAATGATGGTACCAGGGATGGTAAGCAGAACAAGAGCCTACCTCAACTAGAGCATTTTAGCTATTTTAAATTTTGTGGTTCTAGACAAAAATTACTTTGGGAAGAGCCTTGCTGCTTAATTTTCTAAAAATTAACAGCATAACAGAATCAAACAATGTAGTAAGGCATAGTACTGTAATTGTATTTTTAATATTTACCTTTTAAAAGTCTTTCCTGATCCACTTTTAAACGCAAATATAGTAAATAATACTGAACACATTATTTGGGACCAAGCACATTCCAAATTGATCACCTCATTTAAAATCTCTTTGGAGAATTATTTCACTATATCAAGCAGGTAATTCAAATTAATCTATAACACTGATATTAGATTCATTTCCTAAGAGCTTCTAAATGTGATCTAGTGGGTAAACTTGCTCCCACTTACTTGGTTCTATTGTGCAACAACTTAAGTTTTTGAACAAAAATTCAGCCTAAAGGGTCCCACTAATCCACTTCTTTCAGACAGCAATGTAGCTAGTATCTACTAAATGTATTATATTTCTTTCTCAAAAGAATCCTCTAGGTAAGGAGTATTATTTTCATTTTACTGGCAAGGAAATCAGAAGAACTAGCAGCATGCTGAAGTAAAAAGGCCAGAGGAGCACATGGCTAATATAGGAGAAAGCTTTCTGGGGAAAAGGGGGAAAAGGAGGTATCCTCATTCCAAAAGGTTCCACTCACCTCCGACTTTTTGAGCTAATAGAAGTCAGCCAGAGAGTGCCATCCACCTTTCTCATACATCTTTTCACTCCAGTGACTATGAAAAGGCTAGACCTTCCATTCAGACTATTAGAAAAAGGGAGGAGGGAAGAAAAAAGATAGAATCGTCTCCATAACCTTTAGAGATGTTAATAGGAAACCCTTTCTGTAAAGGTGACAGTATGAAAACAGGTGTTTTGGGTTTTGGTGGCTTTTATTTTTTGGCAAAGGCCCCCAATTCAACTTTTTTTTCATGCATTTATTCAAACACTGAACTAACCTAAAGTTAGGCACTATGATGAATACTAAGAAGTACCTAAGAAAAACAGGTTCAGATTTGTATTACTCAAGGGAAAAGACATTTAAATACATGCAGCACTAAATATTAAGTGATGCTGAGGATCTATCAAAGTTTGAGTCAGGTGGATATTTTGCTCATTTTTGCAGCCCCAACTTTTATCACAATGTCCAGCATAAAGTTAATAGCTAAGTACATTTCCTGGATAAGGTTTAGCTCTCTTCAAATTCTCTTATGCTCAATATAGATGCATGGTTGACTACATCAGATTAACAAAGCTACATTTGGTTTCTTGAACTTTATACAAATGTGTTACTTTTAGTTACCAGCCCTTAAACATAATAAAATCAACCATTAGTCTTATTTCAGGGTTCTTAGGCAACAACAACAAAAAAAACATTACATGGTAAACTTGTTGCTTGAGAAACAAGTGCATTCATTGACAATGAACACAGGTACTGTTTGGTTAAATTAACTTGTAAAACTCTTCATAATCTAGGAGCAGGCCTGCCCTCTAGTGCTAAAACTGTCAAATTGAATCAAAGCGGCAACTTTCTACTGGGGGGGGGGGGACGGGACACCGACGACGGGACACGACTTGGCAATATACTGTTAAATGCTCATCCTGAGAATTAAGCAGTAAAGTGGCATCCCTGCTCAACTTTTTAGGTAGTTGGTAATTTATCAATCTTAATTTTTAAAACCTCAGTGTCTCTATAATACAGAAATTGTTTGTAGATGTGGTAAAAAATGTTAACATTTTTACCTGAAAAATCACAAAAGCAGCTCTACTCTATCACTAATCTTGTGTTCAATTTAGCAGCATTCTTTCTGTACTTTTTCTTCATGTAACTTGTGCCACATCTGGATTTAAAATAGGTATACACATTGATGACTTTCAATTTGTCTCCAAACCAAATTTTACCTTTGAATTCTGTCTACTCCAGATTTCCCTCCATTTAACAAGGCATCAGGTCTACACAACATCCAACACTAAGCTCTCAAGTCTTGCTCCTTTTGAGTCTTTTCCTTACCTGTCATTTCACTTCTGGAGTTAAGCCAAAATCCTTAAGCATTCTCCTTTTCTTATAGTCCACCCCCAATTCACCCGCTTACCCCATCTACATGTACTCACAGTCTGATGACTGATGTGCCCTGCCCTCACTGTATTATCCTCCTCACTCTTTTCGCCCTAGGGCTGTTCTGGTCACAACCCTAATGGCTTCCCACCACACTCACTCTAAGTGTTTAGAAGTAGTATGCCTCATCAGGTACCTACAGTCAAGCACAATCATTGCCCCCACTCTCTCTTAACCTTACTTCCTGATTCTTCGTGCTTATTGGTCACACTGATATTAAGACACCAAGCACACTGTACAAACTCCTGGTCTTTGCACACACTCTTCCTTCCACCTGGAATACTTTTTGCAGATATTTGTATTATCCAGTTCTTCAGGTCTCTGCCCTAATTATTTAAGTCTTCAGTCTATCTAGAACAGCAATCCTATGTTCCTACTCTTCCGCTCTCACCTTCAACTTATTTCCTCCAAGGAATCTTGTTACCACATAATGAACTATGTATTTTACTTAATAATTCAAATGAAAGCCCCACAAAGTTGAGTTACTTATTATATGCTCTGTTACATGTTAAGGCCTCCAAGAACAATTGGTATAATTCGGATCTGTTGAATTAATAATTCAGTCTATAAGGAATATGAACAATTTATTTTACAATAAAACAAGAAATCCAGGCTATTTGCTTATATGATATAGTAAAATTTATTGGGAAAAATTTTTTGATTTAAAAAAACCTAAGTATAGTCACTTAATATCTACTAAGTGATGTAGACAGGACCCTATATAGACTTCTTAATAATACTAAGTTGCATTACTTTTGCTATTTTACAGAAGCAGCTCAAGATGTCAGAGGTCAAATGACTTGTCTAAAAGTGAAATCACAGGGAGGAGGCAGAGACAGTCAAATTCAGATTCTCAGCTGTAACTTCTATTAATTCAATATATAAGCTAATACAAATCCCAAAGAGGTGAGCATTCTCCATTTGTAGCTAAAAATCTTGCTATAAACCAATTCACTACATGACACAGAGTAGTACAGGTAAAATACCTAAGTTCAATAAAAAATTAATTATGCTAGTTATGTAATTCTGCATACTTACAAAATGCAGAAGACTGCAAGGCAAGCAGCAATTCATGATCAGTTTTATTAAGTCTGGTGTGGGGCTGGGGATTTAGCTCAGCGGCATAAGCGCCTGCCTTACAAGCAGGCAGTCGCGAGTTCGATGCCTAATACCGATAAAAAAGAAAAAGACAAAAAAAAAAAAAAAAAAAAAAAAAGACTGGTGTTTGGGAAAAGGGAAATAAACTGTATTTTAAAAGATTAAAGGGTTTGCCTAGTGAAGTTAACTAGATGAATTTCTACAATTAAATGTTAGTGACAATTTACCTGAGTTTTGGGGCAATTCGTTTTTCTACAATCTGTAGTTTACCATAAAAGATAAGACTGCTTTTGGGGCTTCCACAATATAATCATGGGTAACTAGAATGGTCTAGAATACTGAATAATTCATACTAGAATAATTTCTACTGCAGAAACTAGTGACATTTTATTATTTCTTTGCTCCTGAAGAGAAAAATGCTTCCTTTCTTGAAATATTTCCTTGTGATGATTTCTTGTGTCACTTAAGACATGACACTTCCCTAAGAAAGGAAAAGTCTTCCTTAGGAATATGAATTCTTCAGCAGTAAGATCAACTTTTTTGCCTATTCTCTTATTTTAATAAAGAATACATCTAAATTACACATTTGTCGATGTATGTGCTGCTTTAAACATCTGGGAAGCACGAGTGGTGCTACAAAACTTTAGGCTTTAGGAACCTAAGAGCAAAAATAGTTTTATCGCATGATAAATTATCACAGCAGTATTAAATGCACTTTTTCAAGAACATAATAAAACAAACTGAGTCAGCATTACTTGTTCCTCAAAACTAAGCATATAATAAATTTTAGAAAGTCTTTTTATAATTTCACAACAGCTAATGGCAGAAAGAACATGTTCTGCTGAAGAAATATTTCAAAGAGAATATATCAATGTATTTCCTTTGTCTTATATCTGAGCAACTCAACATATCTTATATGCCTTAAAATTTTTTGTTATCTCAAAATTCTACTCATGCTCTCAGCCCTGCAAATCAATGGCATTCAATATTATTAAGATAAATTTTTGGTTTGCTAGATGAAAGACATTTGCACGTAAGAGATTTACTCCTCAGGGTCCATCTAACATCTCCGTGGGAGGCTTTTTAAATCCCAAGAAACAATCTAGAGTAAAATAAATCAATCTAGAGATAAACTAAATTAATAAAACCTATTCTTTATATATAAAAATACTTTTCAAAAAATGTATTATATCAAGAATTTTATGAGCAGCATTTAAAAAACAAGAATTACGAGACAGTAAGAAATAAATATGGCCACATAGATTTAGATCAACACAAACCATAAAATGTTTTATCAACTGTTACCTGAATCCTTGGCAAGTTTTCACAGACCAATAAAAATTATTGTCTCAAAGGAATCATTAGGAGTTAAGGGGAGAGACCTCAGTATTCACGTACAGGTGAGACTCAACACCTGGCTCTACGTTCTTCAGTAATATTAATTTGTATAAGAAGCAAATCAACTCCATGTTATTAAGCACCTAGAGTATTACACTCTGTACAAAGGAAATAAATCTGAAAGTTTTACAACAGAATTCCTGAGAAGGCACTTTAAGTCATAAAAGGAACCACAACAGATTTCTTTTTTATAGTTCAGGTTCCTATATACTGTCCTCTTTACTTAACATCTAAAAATCTTCAGTAAATTAACTGCTGTACACTTAAGAAAGGAAAGAATGGAAACAGCCCACACCCAGACTGAGAAATCAGAAGAGTAAATTTGTAAATGTTACAACTCTAAGAAGGCTAAATCCAGCACTCTGGAAGGCTGAGAAAGGAAGAGCCCAAGTTTAAGCCTAGCCTAGGCAACTTAAGTGAGTCCATTTAAAAAAAAAAAAAAGGTGAAATTCAAAATATATCAAGGGAAATAGATGGAACCAGAGAGGGATTAGGACTGCTGACTTTAAGAAAAAATTAATTTTCATTTTCAGACTCAAGAAATCTTAAAGATATTTTTGGATAAGCAAGTAAATATTTTCGTATTTTCAATTTTTAAAAGGCCTTCTAAAAGTTTTAAATGTTTATTTTTCTCAGTGAAAAGGACAAAGACACTACCATTAGCTGAAGCCATAAACTGACCATTTAAACTGTTTGAGAATTAAACAAAAATGGGCAATACTTTTCAAGTTTAAAAGTTGTGCCTTAGAGAGGATTCAATTAAATTGTAAATTCAAAAGTTTAAAAATTTAAATACTTTGCTTGTGAGTGTTATATTAAAATATTCTTCAGATTAAATCTTACCACCATATTATGCTCAATTCCAGTAATTTGATTCAAATGCTTAAGAGCATTCTAAAGCATTCTAAGAAATTTATCTTTTGTGTCAGGGATTTAGCTCAATGGTTTAAGCACTTTCCTGGTAAGCATGAAGTCATGAGTTTGATCCCTAGTACCAAAAGGGGAAAAAAAAAAACGTGATACCAAAAAAAAAAATCTGTAAGATGTTTAGGAAAACTCTTTCCCACTACTATACTGGTGTTTTACAAACTGTACAAAATAATCTCACTAAAAAAGCACAGAATTACTTCTTCTCTGTTCATTAACTTAAAAAGCTTGAAAGTCCTATTTCTTAAGTATTCAATACTGAAAATCACTCATTAAAGATCTATCATCAAAACCATGTATCTTTTATCAATACAGTTCCTTATTATGGAAAAATACCCTATTTACTTCTCTCCACTTATACAATAAAACTAGAAACACTGAGGTGGGGGACTGTCACAAAGTGAACAAAGTTTTCCTATGACTGGGATACTGATGATATGACTGGTTTGAAAGGAAAGTAGTTACAGGCTCACTGCTAACTAGAAGTACTTATTTTGTGAACTAGAAAATGCTGCCATCTCCTTAAATTATGATAAATAGAAAACTATGACACTATCAATGTAAATGGCCTAACTGAATTTGCAGTTACATTCAGAGTTCGCTCATGATTCCTTATGTTCTCTTACATGTATCTTCACTAAATCTACAACAGAGCTACAGTTTTCTTAAGGCAAACGAAACTGCTCTCCATAACAGTTCCTGCATTAACAACAATACAAGTTCAATACCGGCCCTAATTCTCTCACAAACATGTTTGATTTTAAGACCATTAATTTATCAACCTCTTCAAATATAAAAAAAATTTTTTAAATGACAGAAATTCAGAAACTTAAAATTAATGTTAAGGATATACATGCAATATTCATTTATGCATATTAAAAATACTAAAGGTTAGAAAACAAAAATAACTGGACATAACCTTTCTGATTTTAAACTCTTCAAATAAGGTATGTGTGTATAAGACCTTGGCAGCTTTTACAGAAACCCAGAACTGGAAGTTGAAACACTTCTGAAATCTAGAAATGCTATTTTACCAGCTGTAACACAAAATCATGATGCCAGAAATCAATATAAATAATTATCCTTTCTAGTTGTGCAAAGATCAGTAAAATGAGCCATATCACCATCAAACTACATTGTCAAATACTTGAGTCTTTAAATTATCCAAATTCATTGTGATTTAGAAGTTCAAAAATTCAAGATTTCAAATTTACAAAAATAAATACCACTCTGACACTCAAGGGACATCTTCACGTTAAGGCCTTTGTCACAAATCTGAATCTTTATTGTTAAAAACATAACTTGAAACAAAAACGTCAATATTCAGTCTCAGAAGAGGTGTGGTTCAATGCCCATCACATGTAACAAGGAAACTTCCTTTAAAAAAAAGGAAAAAAAAGTACTGTAAGTCTTTCATATGAATGAAAATGCACCCTTCGGATTTTATCCCCCTCAACTCATTGGCTTGTATACACATGGGAATCAAAAGTTTGCATTTTCTTCACAATAGTTCTTGCTATGATGTTTGACGGATTTTTTGCCACTCAACAAATTCATCAAGAAGAACAGGCCCTAAAATAAAGAAACAAAATGTGTTAGAATTCAGTAAACTCATCTTTCCAACTACACAACCAGCTCTCCACAGGCTTTGCAATGACCGAGCCGACCTAAGGTTCCTTCGGGGGTTTGGCTTCTAGTCACGCTCTTCTACTTACCAGCGCTTGCTGAGCCATTTCTGTTCTGATCTTAAAGACAGAAGGGACTGAGAGTAATAAGCAGTCAAAGCAAACTTCTTCTCAAGGTACTTCATAAACCCTCCAACAACTGAGGCGACACAAATTTCTCTCATAGCATTCTGGCATACGAAAAGTGTATGAAGTAGTATTTCTGCTACCCCATTCTGTTAATATGGGGAGTTGGCCATATAAGAAATTTATCTTACTACCAAAACAGGACACAGTACAACGCAAATGCTTAATAAATGTCTATTACTCTAAAAAAGGTATTTTTATAATGGTCCAAACATTCACTTACAAAAGTCCAAAAGGCAATTTAAGTGCAAAGTTTTTTTTTTAAATGTAGGAAAACTCCACACTACAAAGAAATATTTTTGTGTGATTTTTTTTTTTTCAAAACAACCTTTGGGTGGTCTTTTTTTTCTCTCTTGATTTTACTAGACATATTTCTCTACTGTAAGAAAAACAACAGAGCAAACACAATAAATGGCAACTGAAAAACAACTTGGGGTTGGCATACTGTTTGGACTGTCAAAATGGAAATCTGGTTCAACATAAGCCACTGCTTAGCTCCAACCTCTGAGTCTTATGAAGGAATACAGATGCAGTTCTGCCAGATTTTCTGACTTTTCAAACAAATGTACAAGGTTTACTTTTACACACAATATGTTTTAAATGTTGGTTCAACATACATGAATACAGATATATGCAAAACTATATACAGCCCTTGGGTGTCAGTTTATTACTACAAGGTCATTATTTCTTTAAAATAACATTAAATTTTATTGCATCTCATAGGAGAACATTATATATGCAGGAAGAAACAATTAGAATTTTAATTATCCTTTCCTTTTATTGCTTCAATGTAACAGAAACGAGTACATAATTTTAGATTACATTTAAAGAAGTTAGGTCACCAAGTAACCCCTGTGAAAGTTAAAACAATGTATGTAACCAAATGACAGTGGAAACTGGAACAGTTCTAGAGAACTTAGCTTATCTATTTATTCATTATTTTAAAATTCTAATTTATGGCATTCTAGCCGCTCCACTGAAGAGTGCCACTATTTTAACATGAAGGATTTTAAAAAGTGTCCTACTGCACTATCAATATACTCAGAATCAATTTGTAATTTCTAGAGGGAAGTTACTGACATCATATTGTCAAACAGCAATGTCAATGAGTAGTATGGTAACACTAAAGCTTTTTTAACTGTAATAGATTTGTTTTGCTTCTCTACTTTTAAAATCATGAATACATTTTTTTGTATACAGGAAAAGGAAAAAAAGAATTTTAGTATCTGTATACAGAAATTATCACTTACATTTAGATATAATGTCTGGTTACTTAGGAATGGAAAACATTTCATTTACTAGCATAGATTTTCTAATGTTGTTGAATCTAAGCTCTCTATCTCCCTTATTCTGTTAAATAGTACGTTACAGCTATGTATAAAACATTTATGTTAAGCTGGAGATATAGGTCAGTGGTACAGCACTTGCCAGGTGTGCGCAAAACCCTGGTTTTAATTCCCAGTACTGCAGGCAACACACACAGATGGGGACACACACACACACACACACACACACACCCCCTTTGCGTTAACAGTACACAACCCATTCCCTCATTTAATATTTTTTAAAATTTCATTTCTACAGAGATACTTTATACTTACAAGCACCATCTTCATCATAGTTACTAAGATCTGCATGGACTGTCCTGCTGAATTCTAATACATTGTACCACTGATCCTTGTTCATGACACGATACTTTGATTGCTGTGGAAAACAACATAAACGTTTGTACTACAGAACAAATTACTTATTAGGTAATTTTGTTTTTCCTAAAACATTTATTCATCTATTGTTTGTGTTTCTTTCTAGAGAATCTTTAAGTGCACATACACATTAACATCATGCATTTTTTCCATTTTTCTTTCACATTTGAGGAATAAGCGTAAAAGTACTAAATTTAAGACTAATATTTACTGAATTTTTACATATGTATATATTTGTGTAACTACCAATATAATCAAGATATAAAATATTTCCCTCCAGCAAGTTCCTGTGTTGCTCCCCAATAAGTCATCTCTTTCCATGAGTTGTTTTGAAGTTGGTATCTATGGAAGTAGTAAAAAGAATATAGGATTGAATTCAAATACCATGTCTGCCATTAGATGAGTGACCTTGAGAACCTACCTTACAACTCATTTCTTCAACTGCTAAATTTGAATAAGATAACTAAAATGGTATAATGATTACAAAAAACATCATATGGCCTGCACATATACTAGTATTTAAAAATAGCTGTTCTTCTCAACTCCCCAGAGTATTTTTATATTCTTTATTTGGCTTAAAATTTAGTTGTGCACAAAACCCATTTCTTAACTTTGACTTTTATTATAAGTTTAAATAAAATTGTTCTAAAGAACTTGCTATAAGTAGTTAGCTTTATGAGAAATTACTTCCAAAAGAAAGAGCATGTTTATAAAAAAAGTGAGAACCAGAAAAACTAAAATTTAAAAGGCCTCAAAATAGATACTACAGTAGACAAAGAATGTACTAAAAAAAGGACAGTCTTAGAACCACTGCCTCTATTAAAGGTTATGATAAACTATCTAGAAAAATATTTCATAAACAGCGTATTTTTAGTATTAGCCATATTACAACCATTTTCTTAAGTCTTTATTGTAGACACACAGCATTAAAGCTTATTGTCTTTCTTTATATTGAGTCTAAGTAGAAAAGAGAAAAGTTTTATTATAATATAGGTTCTCCTAAGTATATTTCAGCCTAATATCCGTAAGAAAGGACATTTATTTTTTTAAAAGTAGGAAAATTTTTTGGCGAAAAGGAATGGTGAATAGGATAGCACCTGAAAGACAAGGGGGGTCCCAAGTGAGTTGCCCAGAAAGCAGATTGAAAACTTTGAAATTTGTGTGCATTCGATCCTTGCTTACCAAAAACTCAAGAAACTACTTTTGTATGAAGAATGTCTTTAGTAAAACATAGCCTGTCTGGCAAGGGAGGAGGAATGAGGAATAAAAATATTTCTTTTCCAATACAGTGCTAGGGACTGAAGCACGGACCTAACATAGACTAAGCATACTGTCTACCCCAATCTACACCTTCATAAGCATCTTATGTACCGAATACGTTAAATAACATGAATTCAGTCTAAAACTGGCAAATATGTACGCATTTTAACAGAACTTTTTCACTACTCAAGCAGGCTATTTAAAAGTACAGTATTAAAAACTTACCTGCTCTCCAATTAAAAGTGTATCTTCACCAGATAAAGTTTCAAAACATAATTCAAAACAAAAACATACCTCCAGGTACTGGTAAAATACTGAAAACAGTGGCCATGTCCTCCCAAGCAGAAGAGCTAACATAGATTTAGCAGTATCAATATCAAGGCTTCTCTGATCTTTATCCTAAAATGAGTGAAAAACTTTTTCTGAGTATGGTCAAGACATAAAACTATTACAGTGACTAAACATGGAAACTGCACCTACCCTTGCAAAATCAAAGGCATATCTGTATATATTCTTAAATGATGAAATATCATTCAGCTGTGAGCGTAAAAAGTCAAATTTGTTCTGTAACTTTTCTGTGCAGTCACACCTTAAATAGAAAAAAATTATACAGTCAAGAAAATCAATTTAGGATACAAAAAGTTATGCATTAAGAAAAATATGAGAGTATTTATGAAGATAATTTAGCTCTAACATCTCTTACAAATTTAGAATAACAAACTTGTTGCCTTGTATTTACCAATGAAATGAAAAAAAAGATTAAAAAATAAAACCTAACAATTACTGAAAGTTTTCTCAAGACTTTTGAGGAAAAAAAAATTCCAATAAATCACAAATATCTCTTAAAAAGAGAATATAAAATGAAAAGAAAAAAACATAGCACATAAGCCTCTGCTGCTTATTTCTTTGGAAAGTTTTTAGACAATGGCTTGGTGAAGGAACCATGAGTGGTTTTAAAAGTTTAGTATACAATATAGAGAAAACTAATACATTAAATGTCTCAGTTACAAATCCAAGTTCCCACATTTTAGTGAACAAAAAATTTAAGATTTCAATCAGTAAAAGCAACTAATTTCAAATAAGGTACAATACGCAAAAGCAGGAAGACAAGTCATACACATTATTTCTAAAGATAATACATTAAACATAGGGACCTAACTAAATAGAATGCTCAAAAATCTTGAATGGATTTCTGATTCTCACTAGGTTGTTAACTTCTACTATACAGAGGCAAAAACAGAAACTCTTAACAATTTAGTACAAATCTTCAGTCCTGCTTTGCCACTGTGAGTATCCTTACTATGATTATATTTCAATTACCATGCCTAAATGCCACCACCATATGAAGTGTGTTCCTCCCAACGTTGTGACAAACACTACTCAAGATCTAACTCACATTGTACTTCCTCTAAGAGACCACCCAACTTCCATTGACTAAATCAGCTGTGTCATCCATCTACTGTGCCTCACAGTACTCCAGTCAATGCTGAAGATTAGCACTTATGATATAACACAGATACCTGGCATTTTAAAATTTAGCTAAGACTTTCACCATCCTAACCAGTGATGTCAGAGCCAACCATGTGTAGTAAGTTATAATTTTACTAAGGTATACATATTTTGGATACATTTCTGAAGTTAATTAAATCCTGAACATTTAGACTATACCAATCCTTCTCTGTCAGTGGTATAGAGTGACCTGGTGAACAGCCAGGGCTTTCACCTAGTAGCAGCAAGGTCACCTCCCTACCCTAGGAGGGTCCATGAAGGCTATGTGGGAAACAGGAAGGTACTCCCACCCCTTTCAGACAAGAAGGTTATTAGGGGAAACGTACAGAGGAACCTAAACTCTTGTTTTTATTACATCAAATAACATCCCTCCTTCGATGTCAATGGGCACAGAGTAAGAAATTCAATTTCTACTTGCACCTGATAGCAATGAGGCCAAAGTCATTACTTCTTTTGCAAGAGAAGTATTACAAAAATCTAGCCAACACAGAAGGCTTAAATGAGATCCAGAATTTCATAACATAATATCCAAAATGCTCAGTTTTCAATAAAATAAAAATATCACAGATCAAATATATCATTAATCAAAAGAAAAACAGGAGTAGCTATATTAATGTCAGCTAATATAGACCTACAGCAAAGAAAATGACCAAAGAGGTGGGGACAATTGTATAATTATAAAAGTGTAACTCTAAAAGGAAGATACAGCAGTACTAAACAATCATAATTAATATGTACCAAACAGATGCAAAATTATGAAAGAAAAGTTAATAGAATTGAAAAGAAAAACAAATTCACAATTTTAGTTGGAGATTAGAACACTTTTCTCTTAGAGATTGATAAAAAATTAGACTATCGGCAAAAAGAGAATTAAGCAATAGCATCAACCAAAAGATTCTAACTGACATCAATTGAATACTCAATAAAATACATATACAAAGGCCCAAAGAACATTAAGATATGCCATATCCTGAGCCATAAAACAAACCTCAATGACTAAAAGTAAATGAAATGACAGTGTATTGTTTGGCCACAACAGAATTAATCTAGAAATTAATAATAGAGGGGCTGGGGATTTAGCTCAGCAGCATAAGTGCCTGCCTTGCAAGCAAGTGGTCGTGAGTTCGATCCCCAGTAATGATAAATAAATAAATAAATAATAGAAAGACAATAGCAAAATCTCTAAGGAACTCTTAGAAACTCCTAGATAATCTCTGGGTACATTAAGTGTAAGAAGAGACCAAAAAATGCATGCAATTGAAAATGAAACCACAATGAAATCAAAAATTTTAAGACAGAAACACAGCAGTATCAAGAGGTACTAACAACAGATGCAAACATTAGAAAAGAGAAAAAGTTTCAAATCAATTATCTAAATGTATAGTCTGGAAAAAATGAAAATAAACACAAAGCAAGCAGGAAGTAAGAGAAAATTAAAGAAATGGAAAACAGAAAAAACAAACAAACCCATGAAACACAGAGCTAGTTCTTTGGAAAGGTTAATAAAATTGCTAAGTTTCTAGTTAAATGGATGGGGGAAATAAAAACTTAACAATACCAGAAATGAAACAAGGGATATCATTACAGACCTGAAGACATTAAAAGAACTGTAAGGTAATCTACCATAACTCTACACATAAAAATTTGATGACTTAGATAAAACAGACCAATTCTTTGAAAAGCACAAATACTATAACACACAATGTACAATAAATTGACGAGCCCTGTAACCACTAAAGAAATTTAATTCAAAATTTAAAATTTTCTGAAAAAGAAATCTGTAGGCTCAGTTTCAGTATAAAAGCCAGCCATACCTCTACAAATCTGCTTTAGCTAAGTGTGGTGGCTCACACTGGCAATCTCAGAGAGGCAGGCAGGAGAATCAAAGTTCAGCTCAGCTGGGGCAGTACAGTCACTTACTCTCTGTCATAAAATAACATAAAAATAATTTTAAAAAATAAAATAAAGGACTAGGAGTATAGCTTAATGCAAAGACCCCAGGTCCAATCCCCAGTACCACAAGCGGGGGGAAAAGATCTATTCTATATAATTTCTTTCGACAAACAGATAAAAAAATCTCCCCAACTTACTATATAAAGCCAGTATTACCTTGATACTAAAACCAGATAAAACCAATATCAAAAAATTAAAAACTACATAAACCATATAATCAGTAAACGTAGAAAAATCATGAAAAATCTGACATCCATTCATGATAAACTCTCAGAAAAAAAGAAATACTTAAGAGGTCAGAACCCTCAGCCCAAGAGAGCATTGATGAGCAACTTATTGCCAATACACTTATAGAGAAAAGACTGAAATCTTCTCTAAGATGGTAGTTAAAGATGCTCACTCTCGACACTCAACACAGTGATACAAGTTCTAGCTAACAGAAGACGTATAGATCAGAAGAATTAAATTGTGCCTATTTCCAGATGGCATGACTGTCTATGTAGAAATCCTAAGGAATTAAACAAAAAAAAAAAAAGAAAATCTGAACTAGTACCTAAGTTCAGTAAAGGTCACGGGAAACAAGATAAACTAAATATAAAGCAATTAATTTTATATACGCAAGTAATGAATATGCACATACTGAAATTAAAAATAAGAAACCATTCACAAAGGCTTAAAGTAAAAATGAAATGTATTTAATTTTAACAAAGGATATACATGATGTACACTGAAAACTAATGAAGGAAAATGAAAAAAAATCAAACGTGAAAATAGGTAGGGCTGGGTGTGTGACTCAGTGGTAAAAAATTAGCCTAGTGTGTAAGGACTAAACCTCAAAACCACAATAAACAGTCATCCTGAACAATCATAAGCAATTACTATCTAAATCTTAAAATGTAGTGATATAGCTACTGTCCATATACTGAATAGTCAAGTAGCAAAGATGTTAATTTTCTCCTAATTTATTTGTAATTTAACTAAAATTATACCTTTTGGAGATACAGAAAATATTCCAAATTTCATATAAAAAAAAATAGCAGCTAAAGGGATTTTTTAAAAAAAGATAAATCAGTCCATCTGATTTCAAGGCTTACTATATAGCAGTGATGGTGAAACTGTTAGAGCTTTCAATGACAAAAAAGCCTGTGGTGGCACATGCCACTACTGCTATATAGCTAAAGTAAATCAGAGTGTGCAGTACTAGCACACAATTAGGACATATCAATGGAACAGAACAGAGACTGAGAAACAGACCCACAAAAATGTACAAACAGCAAAAGTATTCAATAGAGGAAAAACTGCTTTTCAATGAACAGTACTAGAACAATGGGCCAGAGACAAAGAAATAAAGACGCCTAAGCCTCACACCTTTTACAGAAACTAATTCAAAATGCATCACTGAAAAATATAAAACCTATAAATCTAGACAAAACAGCCATAATTCTTAGTATATAGAACTAGTATATAGTAATAAATGACTGTCAAAACTTGAAACCTTTGTTTAGGAAAAGTTCTTGTTAAAAAAAATAAGAGATAAGATACAGAATAAAAAGAACATAGGCAAACAACATATTTAACACAGGACTCATATAGAGAACTGTCAAAACTCAAAAAAATTATTCTCAGGTCTGTTTATCATTTTCCTTTTATTTCTCTGTACTCTTTTCCTTAAATAGTATAGTTCATGAGTTCTTTCTTCAACTACATTTATCCACCTTTTATTTCATCCAATAAGCTTTTTTAGCCTGTTATTATTTTTCCCTCCTAGAAATTCTCTAAAATCTGATCAGCTGCTATCCCCCAAATATGTATGCATTTCCTAAGAGCTCAAAACAACTAATCTTACAGGTTCTGACCCTGAAGTGTGTTTCTTAAGACTGATTCCAGTGATTTTTTTAAATTTTAAACTAATGATTAAGGAACTTTTCTCTGCAGAAATAAAGTGTTTAAAATTCATTACTGTATAACTGCTTCTGCCAGAAACGTGGAAGGAAGAGTCTTAATTATCTGGGACAATACTAAAGTACACCTTCTGGCATGTGACATACAAATAGTAAATGGGTATACAATGTGCTTCATGCAGAAACAAAAATTATTTTTGCTACTAAGAGTTGCTTATTTACTATT